ATATTTGTCAAATCTGATGCAAATACCAATGATGCTACACTTTTACTCACAATTGATTGGGACACAAATATTTAAATTTGGACCAAATTTGCTTTCGTGGCAAATGTTTTGTAAAACCCAGTATTTGTTATAGAAATAAAATGTTTGTCAAATCTGATGCAAATACCAAGAATGCTACACTTTTACTCACATTTGATTGGGATAAAAAAATTACATTTGGACCAAATTTGGCTTGGAAACAAATTTGTGTCAATTTTAGTATAATAGATTTGCACAACATTTGCTCAGGTATGCAAATCCATTTTTCTATGCAGTGATTGTTTCAAATGCCAATATTCTAACCTTTTCTGACCTTTTCTGAAGTAGTGAACATGGTGCATTGTGGTCTAGCTTTGGTACACAGATCTTTTATTCATCATGCCTTATATATGGTGTTGTTTGAATCGAATCTAGACCACAATGCAATATCTTTATCGAACTCAGAAAAGGTTTATGGAGCAGATATGCATTGCTGTGACCGTGACGATACCGTTTCTGAGCATTTTTATTGGCTAAAGATTAATTTTGGACACTGTGATTGGTCCAATGGATTTCGTCAATTGTGTAACGCGACCGTGCTGTACCATTTCACGGTCATACGAAATATTTGTGTTTATCAAATAAAACACCAACCATGGTTGTTCAGCGTAAAGGCTTTGCAACATCACGTGATGGCAGCCATGACAGGAGGCCGGAACAATTCAATCTAGTCTAATTTGGCGTAGTTTACTAGTGGGAAAAGACCCCTTTGTTTTGCCTCCTGTCATGGCCGCTATCACAAGATCATGCAAAGCCGCTACACAAAACACAAAATCAAACCTGGAATAACTGGCGAGTGCTTGACAATCTCTACTCTTGTCAGGTTCACTAATAAAATCTCTTCATCTTCAGGTATGGCGTCATCCAAGATTTGAATCACGAATGAAGTGTTTTTCTGTCCTCCAGAAAAGTCAACATAGCCGTTCGATGCCACAAAGTCTTTCCCGGCTGAAGCCTTCTGTCTAATACTCCCGGACACATCTCCATCGTTCATGGTTTCATAGTACACTCGTACCGCTCCAAGGACACCTCTTTCCCTGTTGACGACTACAGTAACATTTCTGTTACTTTCTGTTACAGATACGACGCTGCGATTAAACTGAAAGATCCCGTACGGGTGATCACTGGCGATAATGGTGATGTTACTGATTGTACCAGTCGCTGCAAGTCTCCCAGACGACACATTCACAAGCTGGATAAGATAACTTTCTGACAGCTCAGGCGACTGAAAGATAAAGTAATATCTACAGTATGAGTGGCCGTGTTGTATCTGATATACAAACTCGAGGGGTAGCCGAGTGATTGTATATCTGATACAACACGGACACGAATACTGTAAATTGGTTGTCAAACGTCTAGGTTAATAACTTTGTGTTTCACTAAAATTTTCAAAATTAAAGTGAATATGGCCAAGAAAATCCAACTTAAGTTTATGCAAATGAACACAATTTTGTATCAGATTTACAACACTCTTCGCGGCCGTGATTTCTGTTGTGTTTTCCTCATGAGTTATTAATGGCTTTGACAAGAATTGAATATTTCCATGAGTGAGTGAGTAATGAGCTTGTCTCTTTCTGCAAGCAGAGTCTCCTTTTACCTTTAAGGTAAAAGGACACTTACTGCTCGCCAGGCAGAGTTTGCACATGTTCACATAGTTTGGAGGACAGGCGGCTATTTTTGCTAGCCTCCAAGCTATGTGAACATGTGCAAACGCTATTAAAATGCAGCCCTTTCTTCTTAGTTATTTGAAGATGAACATGAAGAGTCGTAGTCCGGCCACACAGCAGGCCCAAGGTCGCGAGCCAACCGTGATACATCTTTTTTATAGATGGTTTTGCACCATCAAGTGCCGGTTACCATAATACAACTTGGACTGCCTGTGGTAAGATGGCAGAACAATAAAATACCTTTGCTCTCGGAAATTGAATTCTTTTTCATGTCAAACGATTGTCGTGTTCCTGCCATCTAACATGGCTGCCGTCACGTGATGGTCCCAAACCTCTATTTTCACCTTTTATCTTAAAATCGATTAACGAATCCTACGTCTATACTGAGAGTTTCCAAGTACTAGGCTTACCGCATCGTCAGCTACTCGGAATTTAATTTGCGCTGTTTCTTTTCCTGTGGGTAGTTCTACATTGCCTTCCATTGGCATCAGGTCATCTTGGTGAGGACCAATGGCTTTCCAGTACACCGTGACGGGGCCAAGACTGCCTGCACTGCGCATGACTGTCAGGACGACAGACTCTGACTCCTCTACAGTCTTTTCGATGGAATCTTGTGTAAAATTCAAGACCCCAAATGCATCGTCACTTGGAAGAATATTGACTATTGCAGTTGAAGCGACCGAACTAAGGTTTGCTGAAACCAGATGAAATGATCAAAACTAAGACATAGCCACCACTTTTATTCCCTTAGAAATAATGACAAACCACCAATAGTGAACATCATCCAACATGGATGCCACTTTTATTCCTTAGGAATGATTACAAACCACCTATAGTGAACATAATCCAACATGGCCGCCACTTTTATTCCTTAGGAATAATGACAAACCACCTATAGTGAACATCATCCAACATGGATGCCAATTTATATTCCCTTAGGAATGATTCTAAACCACCTATAGTGAACATCATCCAACATGGATGCCATCTCACGCTTTATTCCCTTAGGAACGATTACAAACCACCTATAGTGAACATCATCCAACATGGATGCCATCTCACGATTTATTCCCTTAGGAATGATTCTAAACCACCTAAAGTGAACATCATCCAACATGGATGCCATCTCAYGCTTTATTCCCTTAGGAATGATTCTAAACCACTTTATGAATGATTTCAAACCCCCTATGTTGAACATCATTCATGCAACATGGTCGAAACTTTAACAACATCTCCAACTCTTCAAACTTACCTCCTCCAATTGGATTATACAGAACAACTTTAAAAGTCTTGATGAGCTCAGGAACGTTGTCATCTTTTAGGCTAATGGCTATCGTATTGTTGCGAACACCAGATGGAAAGATCACTTCTCCTGCATCATTTACGTAATCAACAGCTGGTTTTGCAGATTGGGGTTCTATCTTCCAAAAACATTTCACCTCACCTAGACAAATAACATACAGTAAATGAATATTTTTGATGAGCCTTTTTTTTTTCCGGGAAAGATTGAGAGTAAAATTCATGGTCAGAAGGTTTGACAGGTTTGGAGAAAGAATCGTTAATCATAAGATATCGATCAAAATACTATAATAAAGTCCATACTTTAAATCTTCATCATTACCATTAGCATCATAGTTAATACTATTCGGTATTTTAGTAACTTACTAATTTTATTTGACACCTTTCTTGTAATTAGTTGTAGATCCAGGGGTGGTTCGGTAGGTTCTATGGAGCCCCCCTTTTTGTGAGATCAGCTTGTGAAACCAATCTAGTTCTTTACCCTCAGTAGAATGAAATTGGATACCCCTTTTGTGAAGCCAATCTTACCAGTTTTCTCTGCGTGGCGGCCATTTTAGAAACCCCCCCCCCCTCTTTTTTTTTAAATCCAGGAGCCGCCCCAAGTGTGAGCATTCGTTTCGTGCACCAAAGGAATATTTATACAGAAAATTAAAGACACCGGCTCCTTTTGGATGTGCAATCGCCGTTTAAATCTCGTCGTTCTCACCGACAACCCGTTTAAAAAAGTGTAAACAAAAATAGCGAAATACGAAATAAAAATGACATATATATATAATACCATTAACTCCCTGTGCACGAACGACAACAAGCCGTACGCTTCCACTACTTTCCCTAACGTCTTTATAGTAAGCATCAACAGCAGGTGGTATGGAATCATTCCATGCAGGAACTCGGTCCATGAATTGCAGCAAGCCGAACGGAAAGTCATTCTTGATGACGGTGATGTTGATGGACGTTAAGTTGGGATCCAGACTGGCTCCACTTGTTGGTGTACTTGTGTTCTCGCTGTCGCCTGTTTCTGACGACACTAGCTTCAGGACAAAGTGTTCGTCTAGTTCTGGAAGATTGTCGTCTCGTGGAGTTATGAAGATATTCTGATTAAAAAAACATCTACAATAGTTAACCAATGAACTTATAAAACCCTTAAAACCTAACCAAAATACATATACATACATTTTGAAATAAACTAAAGGCTGGTCTAAGTCAGRAAACAAGCTCAAAGATCACATTGAAATCACAGGTGGAGAAGCAAAAAAATAACAACAACTCCTACAGTCCTGCTAATTTCAATGGATGAAGAGCAACTCCATGTTATATATTACCAGAAGCATTGTGACAGCGGTTGTCGTCATAAGAATTTCAATCTATCTTGTTAGGTTTTGCAATGGAAGAAAACCCAAGAAAACCCACAGAAAAACCAGTTTGAAAGAGAGACCTTACAAACTCTGCTGACATGAGGCCGAGTCCAGAAATCAAACCAAGACCCCAGAGGTGGGGTCCCTTCAAACCTACCTTTGTCTCTTCCTGGTCTTCGAAGATAATGCTTCCCTGGTAAGGTTCAAAATCATCTGAAGCCAATTGCAAATCTCTGTAACCTTTATACACTCCCCACGACACAGTAACTTGGCCTGCCTTGCCCCTTTCTCTTGTTATGGTTATGCTCTGATTGCTCACTTCTGACATAGTGATGGGCGAAATGCGTTCGAACCCAAACAGACCATTAGCGTTGTCACTCTTGAGAACTAGAACAAATCATTTCAAAAAGAAAATGAGATTTCACCTTTGCGATTCAATTGATCAAGATTTGATTTTCCATTAAATAAAATAACAAGAAAATAAATAAATAGGATTTAGCAGTGGCACTTCAACAGAGTGGCTCTTCATCCACTGAAATTGCAATTAGAATTTAGAAGTTGATTTTAGCGAAGGAAAGAAAACTGGAGAACCTGGAAAACGCTTGAAGCACACGAGAGAACCAACAACAACTTTACACACATCTTTTGCAAAGAGTCAATAAGCACTCTGATTAGTCTTATATATCAGTCGCTATCAACAAGTTAGCTTTTTGTTACTGACCAGTGAGCACAGCCTTAGCATGGTTTTCATCCAAGGTAGCACCACCTTTTGGTGCTAATAGGATTACWGGGAACTTTTCATCTTCTTCGGGCAGGTCATCATCAACAGTGCGTATTTCGATGTTTCTGTGACGCACACCAGCCGGGAAGTCAAGATAACCATTCAGTTGTTTAAAATCATTTATAGCTTTCGGCATTTCCTCAACAGTACTAAAAAAAACCAATAAAATAGAGGTATTTTTAATTTGAGTATCGTGTTATCATAAGTGATTAATCAATTGTTCTTGTTTTATGAAGGTATAGCACCAAGAGAAAATGAACTAAGAGAAGGTATTCATGCTTGTAACCATCATAGGCACCGTTTGATGCTTTTTTTAGAATCATTCATTCATTCATTCATTCGATTGTTTGTTTGTTTGTTTTTGTTCCTCCTATTTTCAAGAGAAAAACACGTGGTCTGAAATGGGAAAACGAATGGGGGGAAAATTGTATCCCTATTCTTCCATTGCACGTTAATTGGTCATCGCGGCCTGTCGGGGGGACGTTGGTGCCATTTAACAAAAGATTTCTTATTAGCATCCATTGTTATAACGGCACCACAATGCCGCCATGCTTTTGTCTTTTAATTCTCTTGGGGAATGCTTGCAATCCATCAATACTGAACAAAGTAGTAGGACCGACCAACCCGCGTTCTTTTGAGACATAGAAATCTCGATGTTACCTTCCTTCAAGCACAGCTGCTTGTATCCTGATGTCTTGGATACACCCAGTGTACTTTTGCTGATCTGGTTGTAAGGCACCGACAGTGAATGTACCACTGGTATCTACCGATCTCCCTGCAAAATTCCTGTGGAAACAATATGTTTGAGGTTATTGAAGATGGATACACTGTGAAATTCTAAAGTCTGGCTAGTGGCATTTTGTCAATCAAAAATACAATAGATGTTGCACTCTCGTCCGCTGGTTAACGAGCCGATCGGTCTCTGGTTGATATTTCAATAACAATACAAAAATAATGCCAAGCACAGCCTTTTAAGATCGAGCTTCAGACAATTTTTAGCCAATCACAGCAAATCAAAATTAAACTTAAGATTGACGAACCAATTAAGCATTTGGATCTATAGGCCCCTTGCATGTGACGTCACAGGAGCTCAATTTGGTGGACAAAACAAAAGAATTTCAACTTCCAGAGAATTAGCAACCTATTGTTATGTCCTCCAAATTGAGCTATGCATTCCGACGTGCTGCAAGGAGTCTATTGGTTTAATTTATTAATGATAGGAAAGCTGAAAATATCTCAAATTACCGGCTATGCTTTCATGGTATCTCGACACGGTAGAGAGACCAAAGAATTTCCATATGATTGGTTTAATGATGCTGGAAGCTTTTTCAACTTACCATGTACGTTTCTGTAATCCAGCAAGGTAGAATTTTGCCACTCCAGTTCCAAAATTAAGAGTGATGACTACCATATGCCAAGCGTTGTCAGCAATATCTACGCCCAAAGCAACAGTTACCTGTAGACAACAAAAAATATCAGGGAAATAAGGAAATAAACGGAGTCCTAGCTCTTGCTTATTTTGAGCAAACCAATGTTTTCTAATTCGACCAAACACTCATTTACACCTATTTCAAAAAACTTTGTCAATCGGAGATCTGAAATATGAAATCTGGGACTGTAATGATGTGTGGGCTATCAGCTGTGAATTGAAGTATGAAGGAAAGGATATTTTTTTCTTTTTAAATTAGTAGTTCGCAGCAAGTTTTAGATACATCTAAATACACCATCACCTCTGAGGTCCGGGGTTCGGATGCGAGCTGAGTTGGTTGGTTCTCTTTCTGACTCCCTAGGATTTTCCTGGGCCTCCTGTTTTTCCTCCCTCCTCAAAAAGCAACCCTAACTAATTCAAACTGTATAGCAGCTGCCAGAGGGGCCTTCACATGCTTTCAGTTCGACCCCATTGAGCTGCGCCACTGCTGATTTTCAGTTTTTATTCGTGCGATGTCCTACGCTTGCGAATTTCTCGGTTGCAGATCCGAAAAAAGAGGCCATGCTTTTTGAAATAGGTGTATATATTAAGCCTCATTTAGCCTCAATTCAAAGAGAATTACAAACTAGCGCTCTTGTCAACAAAGATTAGATTAGCAAAAGGTACTACGTTAATGGAATTACCAAGAAGCCTTTTTATTTATAAAGATCACAGGATTTCAACAGTTAGTAGAGAAGTTGGTTTATTAACAACATTCTTTATCAACATAGATTACAGGTTAGCAACAGTTGCTATAGAAGTTGAGTTATCGACTAGCCTCCTTAATAAAAAAAACTGCAGTTACCAACGATAATTATGGTAATGGCCTGTCAACTAGCCTCCTTAATTTCAATTAAATATTAAAATATTTACTTACATTTGAAGCACCAAATTCAAAAAAGAGAGAAGAAGTAGAAGCCGTGGTATTGACAGCCAAAGCATAGACAACGTCCCCTCCATCAGCATAGGACAACAAGTAACCAAATGTTGACTTAGCAGGTTGTAGCCATGAACTTTAGGGGGAAAGAAATAAAAAAAAAGCTTTTTAATTCAGACCAGCATATGATGAAGAGATTGGAGGGCATATACAGCGAGGAAAAAATTGCAATTGTTACGTCCGTCAAGTCCATACAGAACAGCAACGATCCCTCGTTTCCAGATCTAGCTCCTTATTAAAATTCGATCTTAGCTAAAATTACTCAGAAACCTTGCTTTTTTACCTTATAGTGATTTCTTTGGTTGAAAGTCCGTTCATTGAAGATACAGTCGCGTAAGATCCTGAAATTACAATAGATAGAACACTTTTAGAGAACAAGGTTTTGGGAACTGGCTATCTTCGTAAGCGTGGGCAGTCGTTGATACACCGCTTTTTGCTGCTAACCATGATGATGGGTCATCGACGCGAAAGTTTGGTAATAAAAATGAATTATCACCATGACCCCCCATTACCATGACACCCCATACCATGACCCCCCATTACCATGACACCCCGTTACCATGACACCCCATTACCATGACACCCTATTACCATGACCCCCCATACCATGACCCCCCATTACTATGACTCCCCATTACCATGACCCCCATACCATGACCCCCATACCATGACCCCCATACCATGACCCCCATACCACGACTACCCATACCATGACCCCCAATACCATGACACTATTACCATGAGCCCCCATAACATGACCCCCATACCATGACCCCCATACCATGACCTCCCATACCATGGCCTTCATACCAGGACCCCACTACCATGACCCCCATACCATGACTCCCCATACCATGACCCCCCATACCATGACACCATTACCATGAGCCCCCATAACATGACCCCCTTACCATGACCCCCCATAAGATGACCATTTCCGTGAACCCATTACCATGACCTTGAAAGCCATGTCCCCCCATAGCATGACCTCCCATTACCATGACCCCCCTTTACCATGACCGCCCAAATTGTTGTTAAATTGTTAATTAGAGACCTACCACTTTTACTTGCATCAAAGCAATACACATTAGTGTTTGTTCTATCCCTTTTTTTGCTTGGATTCATCGTAACACCAGATCTCACATCACCAAGGAACATCAAATCATACGTGTAATGTGTCTTGATGCTGGCTTCTGAGGTGACGATTTCCCAGACAACCTAAAGAGTGATTGAACGTCAGTTAACAAATAGACATCAGGGCCCGGTTGTACGAAGCCTGGATAGCGCCATACGGCGGATAAATCCTTATCCAGTGGATAAGTCGATGCCGTTATCCAATAAATTTATCCACTGGATAAGATTTATCCGTCAGATAGCGCTATTCAGGCTTCGTACAACCGGGCCCAGTTTTTATGTGTCTGGCCTCTTATTGACGATAAATTGCGTCATCACATTGTCAAAGTAGTGTGGACATAAATTCCTGCAATCCCCCCTCAATTATTCAATTATCTAGCTAATGTTCCATCTTTACTATAAAATGTAGGCTCTAGTACATGACTTCGTAGTATAAAGCTTGAGGCTCGAGTTCTAATGTTTAGCATACGAAAAAAGTTGGATAGAAGAAAATATATGAAATATGTATACTGTACGCTGTTCCCAAAAATGACATCTTGTGCAAGTAGGATTAGGATATATCTGGAATTTATATTTATAATGACAGAACCAATCAGGAAGTGCATGTATGGTCTTTACACCTGATTTCTAATTTACATGTTTCTATGGCAACACACCTGGATATCACCCCAGTCTCCTTGTTCGCGCATCACGGTCAGATTCTTGATAGTAGTGTTCTTGAATCCAGGTTCAAAGTCCTCAGGAATCTTAACGTCACGTGATTGGGACGGGAACAAGAGCTTGCCATAAGGGTCATCGTTTGATAGGACAGTCAAGTACGCTGTAGTGTAGTTACCAAGGCGACCGTTTTCACCTGTCTCAATACCTTTGGAAGAAATAACTCAAGCATTATGATCAAAATTCATTGTCTTTATGAAGCATCCTTGCTCGAAACTGCTGTTGGGGCCAATGCATGGATTTTTCTCAAGCGTAAAGGTTAGGGTATTTTCCGCCTTTTACGATCCCACCTTTATCTACTTGTCAAAACAGCAAAATTTGCCCAGGAATTGTACCCATGATTAAGCTGCCAACCTTCATTTGACCACCCATGCATRATTTCTCAAGGGTGATCGTTTAAAAGAGATTCGACTAAATGAACTTTTTTTTTTCTTAAAACGTTCCTTTAAAAAATATTTACTTTACAAATATCCACCCTCTCCCAAGCACCTAATAAAACGTCTGACAAAGAGGTTTTACTGGTTTCTT